AATGTGTTTAAAACATTTACATAAATTAATGAAAAATTAAAATTTTATTAAAAGGAGACACAAAACCAGCAGAAACCTATGAAAAGCTTCAAGCAAAATTCAGAGAAGAATATTTACATATGAAGTTGTTTGGTATGAATATATCACTCTTAAAATAATATATCATCAGTAACAGACAATAAATTTGTTATGTTGGGTCTATTCTATCTGCTATACTTACCAATATCCAAAAAGTAGAATAATTGCATCTAACAGATTTGTTATTTGTAAATTTTCTGACGAAATAAAATAATAGTATCAATACTATCATTCAGGAATATTCAGTTTTCTGAAAGATATCTATGCAATGATAGTTGGAATTGCTCATTATTTTTCATTATGATGAATAATTAAACATTTTACAAAAGAACCCAAACAGAATTTCAATATAGAGGACCAAAGAAGCAATTAAAAAGAAACATTAAAACTTGCATATAAATTAAATTACAGCAATAGGCATTTTGGTCAAATAATCAAATATCAAAATATAAAATAAAATAATAAAAGAGCAAATAATCATGTGTAACAAAGTATAATTCCATCACTATATACTAAAAGATAATGGAAGCATATTTCAATTACCATTGCAACAAAAATTCTATCAGATTCCATTAGCATCAAAGACAAGTTGTAGAAATATGGTCTGTAATACAGAATATACAAACTCATATGGATTTTTTTTAAATTAAAATTCTTCAATTAATAATGGATATTATTATTAGATAGATTTTGCAATAATATCCATCATTCTAGGCCATCTAACCAAGTATAATAAAAAAAAATGCTTTTTGCTCCAAACAATATATGTTAATACCTTACACATTTAATTACTACAGAATCCTTTGACTTGGAATTGTAAACTATTTGCTATTGTTTACAAAGTTTGTACCTTACTGAGTTTATTTCTTCAACCTACAAATATTAATGGATTAACTGCTCTACATATCACAAAATAATAACTATAATTGTACTCTCAAAAGATAAAGCATTAAACTTCATCAAATAAAACAGACATTTTTATGATGCAAATATATCAGCATTTGTGATTTGATATGCACATCATAATATTAAATAGCAAATGTCATGCAAATGTAAGAAATATGCATTATATAAAACATGTTAGAATTAGAAATGTGCATTTTGATAAAAAAAAAAAAAAACAAAGTAGTCAAATTTTTAAAGTTTTATTTTTTCAAACACAGGAAAAAAAGTTCAATTCAAACTAAAATTTCAGTTTTATTTCTATTAAAAAGATCAAATTTTAAAAATATATATCTAGATAATGAATAGATGAAACAAATAATTTACTAGAGAATAATTTAGAAGTTTTCCTGTCAACAATTACAAAGTTTTAAATTTTTATATATTTTTTATATTATATAGAACAGAATATATATTCAAATATAATGTTTGATAATTTTATTTCAATAGACTTTTAATATTGAAAAAACTGAAAATAATTCTTGCAAACTGACAAATAGATAAAACATGAAAAATAGTGCAAAAGTATCAAATAATTCTCTCTGATGACTTCCAACTATTGAAATCTTTCACTTTATCATTTAGAATTCATTTCTAGTACTTAATTTTTTCATATTATGTATTCATTAGTAACAATAATAAATTGATAATTACACAGAACTTAGTTTTCTTGTAGTCTGAAAAAAATAATCTTCTAAACTTATTGTACAATTTAAACTGCCAAAATATATGAACTAATTAAATATATAAATATTTTATTTTATTTCTAGATTTACTTTATATCAACTTTAGAATGTAGAAAAATTACATTTTAGACTTGCTATTAAAATTATGTTTTGCAAATTTTAGATTTTGAATATATACAAGTTTCTATTGGTAATACAGAATGAATGTAAAAAACAGATTATTTATTTGTCAGTGATGTTAAATTAGAAAAGCTATTTAAGAAAAATTAATTTTTTGTTGTGACCAAAGTCTGTTTAATATGTATTTACTTTTATCAAGAATATATTGAAAATTTAAAATATTATACTCAAAATGCAAAAATCCAAAAATTAGCATATTAAATTTCACCAAATACTTTCAAAAAATTTTAAATTTAAGATATTTGTATAATCATCTAATATTTTTTTATCTCTCTTCTAATGCTCATAAATTAACATTTTTGAAATTTAAAAATAAGGCAAAATATGTATTGAATTTGGCATTAAATTATTTAATATATAATTTGATAACTAAAATTGTTATTTTAAATTTAATATACAAAAAACAATTTAAATAAAATTTTCATTTTGGATAATAAGTGTGTGTTTACTTTTTCTAATATTATATGATTTATGACATATGTTTTGTAAACAATAATTACAAAAGTCATCAATAAAATTATAATTAGATCACAGATTCAATTTCTATAAACTGAGCAAAATATCTAAAAACTTCAATTTTTATTACTTAATGAAAAAATCACTCTCTAGTAGGAGTCCATTGGTAACTATACAGAATTGTTGCAGCAATTACAGTTGATGCTCCAACAATAAAATATCTGTAAATATTTAATACAAAATAAACAATTTATTACTAACTAAACCTTACATTTTCTAAATATATTTAAAAATTTCTATAATATATGTTCTACATACATCAAATTTCATAAAACTATAAAAACAATTTACCATTTTAACAATTATGAAATTTTACTTAATTATTATCCAATAATTTTGACTGATTATATCAAATAGCAAACTTTAACTTTCATAATTTTTCTTGATTTTTTTTATATGTGAATTTATTTTATCTGTTATTTCTCATGATTACATAACAACAACTAAGACACAAAATATTTATTACTTCACAATAAGAAAATAAGTCTTCCAATATGTAAGTTGGAACTTATGTATAATAAATCATACTATCCACACTTTTTTCAGTAGGAATACTTGAAGTGTAGATGGGAAATAAAAGATTTATAATTAATTTTATTGGTAATAAAAGAGATGCAAAAATATATTAAGGTTTAAAAAGTTTATATGCTGCACTTTTGGTTTCCCAAATCAATGTGTAGCAATAGGCAGCAAACATTTCACATCCTTTTTAAAACTTTTGTAAATAAGTAAGTATTAGGAGTATATTAATATTATTGAAAATTTTGTGAGAATGTAGATTGATGGTCAAATTTGGAAATTAGGTTAAAAATTGGCAGAAAAACATTTACAGTACATGTAATGAAGTGTAAGAAAAAGTCACATTGACAAGTGTTGTTATTTGTTTAAAAATAACCTTAAGAAATGTTTCAACAACATACTCAAAAATATTGAGTATAAATGATAATCAGATATAAAGCAAAACTGAAAATGTTATAATTATTTATTCTATTTGATAAAAGTTCTTAAATACATAATCAATCATCTAAATATCTCTAACTGCATTACTACAATAAACCAAAAAACTCAAAAACCTTTATAACTCAGTCTATTTTTTTAATGTACCTAACGTTTTCGGTCAAATTAACTGACCTTCTTCAGGATCGAACCAAAAAATTTAATTTGCCAAACAGATATTTTAGAACATTTTTTAAAAATCTACAATCTTTGCAGATTCGATTGCGCAAGCCCATTTGAATTTTCCATCTAGCAAATTAAATTTTTTGGTTGGATCCTGAAGAAGGTCAGTTAATTTGACTGAAAACGTTTGGTACGTTAAAAAAATAGACTGCATTATAAAGGTTTTTGAGTTTTTTGGTCAATCACCTAAATCAGTGTTTCTCAACCTCTAACGAATCATCGCCCCTTCAATAAAACTGTTACATAGTGTCACCCCCTTTACTTCAAAATTCCGATGTTGAAGGCCAAGACTAACGCCAAATTCATACTGCATTGAATAGACTAGTGACTAGTATAATGTTATTTGTTTAATTGTACGATATAACAAATAAAATGTCGAATTATTCTTAATATAATATTTTACTATATCGCCCAGAAAATTGTTTTTCGCCCCCCAAAATATAAATTGTTACTAAATGCCCACATGGGGGCGATATCACCCCCGTTGAGAAACACTGATCTAAATTTAAAAAAAAAAATATATATATATATATATACATATATAGGGTGTTGTTCATTTTAATGAATCTACTAGAATAACTGAAACAATACACATCATGCAAAAAAATTTATTAAACCAAAGATGGCACTGTTGGTTTCATCATAGATGACTGTACAATTGGTGAAAACAAGAGTTTCTTACGTGGGAACATCATTTTTGTTTTATATTATAATTCTACATAAAAAACAAACTTTAATCTGGAATTTTCATGCGACCACCATATCACATTCATATGTGTTAATCTGTGGATATCTATGAAGTTCATTAAAGAAAAAAAAAATCATTAGGATGCTATTATTATTTGATAAAATCATTTTTTCTTCTTCAAATAATAAACTGATAAGAACGTTGGTGTGTCAAAGCCATCAAGCTTATGATAGAGATATATGTTGACCTTGATTAATTTTTAAAATTTGTTCTCAAGCCCAGTTCAAAAGTTCAAAGTAACTGTAAATTTTCTCAGGATATTTTTCAATTTAATTAAACTTTTAGTGGCATTCTTAATTAATTACTTTCATAGTTTTCTCCTATTATAAACATTATTCAATGAAATTTCCCTGAATGCATATGTCAATTCTCTGTCGGAAATGTCTCAATTTTTATTAACATGTTCTTGTAATACGCTTGTACAATCTGTTTGAATTCTTCCAATCATATCTTCTCTAGTTATTGGATCCTTTTTGTAGACCACATTCTTTAAATAGTACTACAAATAAAAGTCATGCAGAGTCAAGCCCAACAATTATATGAGCCATTATATTGATCAACATCATTTTATTTTCCCTTTTTCAATGAACTTCATAGATATCCACAGATTAACACATATGCATATGATATGGTGGCTGCATGAAAATTCCAGGTTAAAGTTTGTTTTTTATTTAGAATTATAATGTAAAATAAAAAAATGGTGTTCCCACTTAAGAGAATGAAGTTGACTCTATTTTCACCTATTGTAGGGTCATCTATGATGAAACCAGTAGCATCATCTTGTGGCATCCTTGAAGTATAACAACTTTGATTTAATGAATTTTTTGTAGGTTGGGTATTTTTCAAGTTAGACCAAGACTCCACTAGTGTAAAAACAGGCATAAACACCTTTGCTATAAAAACTTTTAATCACGTGATCTATTTGCGTTTGCATCTGGATTGCAATGGAGGTCCGGCTAGCAAAGTTTTTACTGTGATAGTACTATCGAAGTTATAAAGACAATGATTATATTCTACGAGTTTTTTCTGTACTATAATTACAAATGTAGTAAAATAATATCTTTACTTTCATATATTAACTTTTATTATCATATTATTAATTAAGATAATATACAGCACTTATAAGCTTAACTTTTTTCATTATATACTCCTCTAAACTGAAGGATTTTCCTTTGCCCGTCCATATCGTGTATTTTAGGCATCCATTATTATAATCAGGATACTTCTTGTCATAGATACATGAATACTTTCAGATGTTTTCAATAAATCTTACCAGATCTATTCTAGAGTAGCCGCGAGGGAACATACACAAAAGCTCATTTTCTGCCATTTTCACACTGTCACAATGACCTAGATTTCACTGACTTCTGATTGGTGGATGGTACCGTTTTACGGTTGTATTTACGTCGAAAGTTGAACACTGCTCAACTCGCTTTTACACTGGTTTTACGACCTGCTCAGGCATAAAATATCATGGTCACGTGATTAAAAGCTTTTATGGCGAGGGGTTTTACACCCGTTTTTATGCTAGTGGAGTCTTATTCCAGTGGATTGATTAAAATAAACCATCCTGTATGTCAGAAAATATTTATTAATTAAAGATTTTTCATTCATTATGTAATGAGTTATTATTTAAATGGTGCATTTTAAATGTTTATCTGTAAATTTTATACCTAAAAATATCAATGATGCAAAAGTTTCAGGTTATATAATTTATAGATTAGCATTTTTTTCCTCCTCACCTCAAATATTCCTTTTAGATTCATTCAGCAATAATTTCAAGTAACTGATGTTGAATTGAAATTGAAGACTTGAAAATACCTTGATCATTCCATTTAATTTTATGAGCATGCTTTTTATGTAATTATAAATTGACAAAAAATTAAGAAATTATTTCCAAATGAACAAATTAAAATTATTAGAAAGAAATGCTTATTTTCTCTGTAAAAATATGTGATATATTAATGAATTTGTTTTTAATATTTTTTTTTTTATTGATCAGTTTATCAAAATTGTGTTTTATACAAAATTTCCCAAAATCAGAAAAATTGTATATTCATAGTTCTATTAAAAGTTTGTGAAGTGAAATTTGTATGATTCAGTAATGCAATATAAAACCTTGATAAAAATAAGTGCTAAATAGATCTAAAACAAATAAGTAAAATTTTCTCAGAACATCAACTTAAGAAATTTTTATATCTTCATTTGCAATTATTGTAATAAAAATATTTTTATTACAAATGAAGAGACAATCAATTATGAAATCATGTAATTATATTTTGTTTATCAATATTTTATGCTTATTTGTAGCAATCTATATAAATAAAAATGTAAATGTTCATTTGTTCAAAATCTTAAATCTCCGAAAGTTCTTAGCTGATTGCTTTGAAATTTTGACATAATGTTGCATTCGAATATATGCGTGTTTTTATATTATATAGATTTCAAAATTCCTTTCACGGGGGGAGATGGACAGGATTAAGGCTTACTGTGAAGAACTCTGCTTCTATTATACTATTTTAGATGTGGTTTTTTGCATTTTTGATTGCGTTTTAATAGGGTACATCAAGAGAATGTACACTAAGAAACGATTTTTCAAAAATTCCCTCCCGCGGAGAGTGTTATACATTTATAATAGATACATTTTGAGCCACAGCAATGTGTGGCTGGGTGCAGTTGGTCATTAAAATAAAATGAATAACCATCTCTTTTTTAGCTTTTTTTTTTTACTTTAAACCATTTAAATTAAAGTCTAAGTGTTTTTGATAAAATTAATCATAAATTTTTTAATTCTATATAATAAAGCAATCGATTATATAATATCCTTATTTATTTTGTTCCCATTCAGTTTGAGAGATATATAAATTTATTCTATATTTTAATAGTTCTTTTTCAATGAATTTTGCAAATTTGTTATGTAAAAATTATCTGTGTTTAAAAGTAAATACAAATTCGTACCTTGTTGGTAAAAAATCTCCTAATAAATAATATGAACATAATGTTGAAAGAACAATAGAGACTGATGTTGCAAAACCTTTTAATATATTATCAGCATATTTGATGACTGTTGCTACCACTAAACCTCCAAAAGCCTACAAAAATTTAAAATTTTAAGATTTTCATAAAAATTAGTAATTGGGATATTTTTTAAATTCATATTTAGAAATTCTGTTTTAATAAAACTTAAAACATCATAACTTTATTACATTAATTTATTTCATATCATAAACCATTTTGAAAAATTAATGAGATAAATTAAAGCATTTTTGAAAAGGTTGAAAATACTTGCGAAATCTTTAAATCATTAAAACACAACAAAAATTTAAACACATTTAAATATATTTTCATGACATTTTTACTTAATTTTTATTTAACTATTTATTTAATTATTCTAAAAGCTATTAAAAATAATTTATCAATTTTATTAATTCAAAAAAATGTATATATTATAAAATAAGTTAGTGATTAATCATTTTATCATCAAAATATTTTTAAATAAAATTTGTAGTTACCTGAAGGAATACAACAAGCCATGCAATTTTATTGTAGCCTTGAAAAAATCCTACATTTAAAATGGTTTGATAATCTTGTATAACAACAGCAGCCCATCCCAACAGAAATCCAAAAATAGCTATAAAAGTGAATAAAATAAATACAAAACATCATTATTAAATTATTACTTTATTATTTAATAAAATATGTTATTCTTTATTTAGTAATATGTGGTTTAAAAGTCTAAATTTTAACAAGTTTTGTTTAAACTTATAACTCAATCAAGAAGTGATAAAAATAATTATTATTATTGGTATTCCTTTTTTTATTAACTTCTGCAATCTTGAAAACAAAAATATTTTTCTACATTGTAAGAAATATCAATATATTATGAAATAAGCATAATGCAGGCCTACAAGAATATATACAATGTTTTGTTTTTCAAGTATGTTGAAAAACTTAAATTCTTTAAAAGTCAAGAAATTACAATGAAAACTTTTAGCAGTTCATTAAAATAATTATAATTTGAAGTTATAATATAAAAGTAATAATATTTTATTCAATGCTGGTTACACAACATCCAAGTTCAAGTATTTCGATAATCTTGCTGCAGCTCTCTTTTCCCACCAACTGCTTTGAGATCTGATGACAAAAAGACAAGTTGGGTGTTTGCTCAACCATCCATTCCATATTTGGCAGATGTTACATATTGTATTGTATGTGTATTCAAGAGATATGGCATTGTACTTCCTATAAAATTGCAGATTTTCCTGTGCAGATTGTTATGTAATGATAGGGATAGTTTTAGCTTTTTGGAGAAGTCAGAGGTCTAATCTACATGGTCCCTTTACAGTAGACACAAACAGCAGCAAAAATATTTTATATCAAGGCTACAACTAGAAAATTGGCTTACCGCTTTCAAGAATATCAAGGTGATATCAAAAATTGTAGAACTGCTATCAAACCTGCTAGAAATACTTTAGAAAATGGTTGCAATATATTATGGGCTGATGCCACCTTACTTCAACAGTGCTCAGATTGCAGGGTCGCTTTCATACGTGAATCACTTTACATAACAAGACTTAGTTTGTGTAACGAACCTTCATTTGACCTTCCAGCAATATGGCACACATTATACAGGAAGTTAACCTGATAATTTTCATTCGAGTTAATTCTAAATTATACATTTTTCGCACCTTTTTAATTTCTACTTTTTATTTCTGTTTTATTTATTTATTTATTATTATTATTATTATTATAGTTTTTTCAATGTATTAACACATCCCATGGAATACATTTTAAATTTGCTGTTTAGAACACTTTAATGTATACAGTAGACCCCCCTATAACGCTTAGATACGTTCCACGCTAACCGAAAATTACGTTGTAGGAACGATTAAATACATGAGCCAATCGCAGCCCGATAGGTGGGAACTTTACAGACTAAGGCTGTTTGAAAGGTTTTCTTCTATAAAATTAACCAATTCTAGACTAATTCCACTCAACATTTCCAAAATACGTATAATTTTTTGGGAATAATCTGTATAAACTATGCTATAAACAAAAAATTGTAGGATTACTTACAGAGTGTGTACCGTTCGACTACGCCGTTGCTTAAAGCTGGTTTTCATCGCGGAACAGCACATTAAACGACGGCCGCGATTTCTAATAACGAATTTTTCGCATAAAAATAACTTGACCTTTGGAGACATCATTAATATAAATAATTTTTATGGCCGTTGAATAAGAAGTGTTTCTTTCACAAGAAATGTATAAAATTAGTGCTGTATTAGACTTACGGTACCTAATTTACATACTGTACAGACGATAATAAACTCAACTTACTAGCCTAAAATCTCCGTAGCGTGTTGCCAGGCGGCAGAAAGCATATATATAATTATAATAAAGTTACAATAAATTAAGTTAATATATAATTATATATACAGTACCTAATTTATATATAATTAATATATAATTATATGTACAGTACCTAATTTATATATAATTTATATATAATACTAAACAGACGATAGCAAACTCAATTTAGCCGCTCCGTAGTGTGGCGCAGGGTCGGAGGTAAGTAGTTCTGCTGCTCATCCACTATTGGTCCAGACTCTATCAATCTTGTCGCGAAACGACATTATAGGAGGTACTTTATACAAAAGTTTCTACAATTTTTTTGCTACGTTATAGGAATTGTCGTTATAGGAACGTACGTTATAGGGGGGGTCAACTGTATTTTAAATTGTAAGGTAAATAGAAAATAGATTTCTATACTGAAGACGACAATTTGAAATTAATCAAAAGTACTTTTAGTAATATTTTAAGTAAAATAATAACACTGACAGACAGTGTTAATATTTTCTTAAACTATTTGGCATCACATGAAGCAATTTTGAGCATTTTTTATTCAGTGTATTTTTTGTTTTCTATGTATTTGTTAAATAGCAATGAAATTAACAAAATCAAGTTAATTTGAATCTTTTATACAAAGTACAGTATTTGAATGCATTCTTCTTACATAGAACATAGATACACTTCTACTGGCATTGTTCTATAATATGAGCTGAAGACCATAAAACAAGCAAAGTTGGATAATGGATTATTTCTAACATAATTTTATTTTGTAAACAATGAAATCAAAATATTTTAAAAACTATGACTCAATTTAATATAAATTCTCTAATTAAACTAATGTGTAATGGAAACATAATTTATAGATTATTAATTTTTAAAAAATTCCCAATCAAAATTCCAGCAATTACTGTATTTTATAGTATATAAGATTCACCCTGATTTTGATACAGAATATTTAGGAAAAAGTACTTAGTGTATTTAAACCATACCATGCCTTTGGCACTCAGACCCTATTTTTTTTACTATATTCTGGTTAAAACAAAAAGTAAAATTAGAATTCACACTTTCATTTATCAGGCAAGAAGAAGAGTTTTAAAAAATCTTTTATGATTAAAATCTACCATAAAGGATTTCTTCCTAAATACATGCAAAACATCTTTGTGTATGTATGTTTGTTTGTTTGTTTATGTTTTTTCAAATATTGTCTGAAAAGATAATATTCAAATTATAATTAGGTAACTCAAATTATTTTTTGTTTCCACCTTTGGTCATTAATCTGAGAAATACAAAATCAATCAAATATTTGTATATTCAAAACCAGTAAACAAATACTTACAGAGTTGTATATTTCTGATCCATAATGATTGTGGTGAACCTTTCAAAAGCTTTTCAAAATATACACCACTAAATCCACTGGAAAAACAAGCAGCTAAAACAGAGGTCAAACCTACAAATTGTGAAGAGGCACTTTTTTCAACAATATTTTTTGATGGAATATCACTTGGCCACTAAAATAAAGAAAAAAAAATACATAGTTTGATTTTGATTTTATATATCAATATATATATTGATTTTATATTGATATTGATATATCAATATTGATTTTATACGAGGCATGTCCAGAAAGTAAGTACCGTTTTGGAAAAACTTGCATAAAAAATATTTTTTTAAAACAAAATTTATTTTTACATGAAAGAGCATGTCTGAAACTATTTTTCTACATAGTTACCACCATGGTTCAGACATTTGTCATATCGGGAAACCAACTTGTCTATACCCTCTTCAAAGAAAGATGCCGCCAGTGAAGACAGCCACTGCTGAACATCGGTTGTTGCAACAATCTCATGCAAAACAGTATTTGAAATTTGTGGAAACTCATCACAAAGCAATCTTATTGTGAAC